GAGACAAAGCTACAAGAGTTGTCTGGGTCTGTTGTTCCTAAGGGAAAAGGCCAGGTATCCCAGGGGGCTGTGTGACCCAGGAAGGGGAGAGAGGAGCCGCCACCACAGTGTGAGTAGCCAGAGAGCTGTGCTTGAGAGGCGGCAGCCTGGGAAGCTCCTGGGGCTGAGGCTAACTGGGGAAGAAGGTGAGTAATCACTCCCCGGGCACAGACAATGTTTTCTGGAAATTTCTTCCTTATGGACTCATATGAAGGCTTCCCTCAGAACCCTTGTTTGTGGGTCGAGCCACATGGGAGGTGGATGGAGTGGACGTAGACCATTTCCACACACAGCCCAGAAAAAATAGGCCCTAATCAGTTTCCCCCTCTAGTTGAGAGTGGAACTGTCCCCAGGATGGAAGGAGAGAGAAAATCCCTAGATGTAGGAACAATAAGGGAAACCCTGAATGTTGGCACAAAGCAAAAGCTGCATGATGGGAAGGCCCGTGTCCTCATTCATGTCACTGGGCACTGCCCGCCTTTGTGTGTGTGTGTGTGTGTGTGTGTGTGTGTGTGTGTGTGTGTGTTGGGGCAGGGTTGGAGAGGAGAGAGGTGTTTGCTGCCACAATCAGTCTTGCTTCTGTCTCTCTACTCCAGGCTAAATAGTAGCAGTGAAGAAGGGAGCCTGCTACTGAAGGTTTCAGTCACCTCTGTTGCTCTGACTGCACACTTAGATAAAATCAGAACATGGTTTCTGCAGGGGGAGTCAGGCCACAGTGACACGTTCTTGCAAGGGTCGTGGAAAGGAGGCCTAGAAGATCTTTGGGTTGATCCGAGGTTACCGCACCCACCCATACCTTCAGGGAAAGTTGTCCCTCTTCCTCGTCCCTGGCTCAGGAACACGTCTGGTCTGAAAGAGGGTAGAAAGTTGCTGTTGGCATGAGGAGCAGTACAACTGACCCTGAAGGCAACCTGCCAATGTGGCTAGATGGGAAAACACAGCTGCCTGGTGTGTTCCTAAGGACCACACCTTGTCTTCTCGGGTACGCCTTCTCTTCCAAGGGCTGCTCTCTTTGGGGAAATGGACCAGCCAGCCATCAAATCCACATGCATATCATTCTGGTGAGGAGCCCCAGAGGTGCACTGGGACATGGTCTCTCGTGCGTCTGCTACCACCCACAGTGTGCGCAAAGTGGTCGTGCTTGAGATGCCTCCTGGAGCACTGTACATATAATCAGTGCCGTTAAGCCAGGGCCTGCATCACGAGTGGGACAGTGGGACTGATGTGAGGATGAGGGAAGGGATGGAGCCCTGAAGGAAGCTTGGTGTTTCGTGGGATCCCAGGGCTCCAGGATACCTGGCCAGGTGGTCAGGAGTGGAGCATGACACCAGCTGGTTTCTGCTTAAGGTCAGTGACTTCACATGGTTACAGTTTGGAGAAGTTAGGACAAGTACTGCTGCCACTTAGGACTTCCTAGAGGTCACTAAGATGGCCCCAACTGAATGCACTGTTTAAGAACTCTATTACAGGACCATATCTTGGTTACATTCATTTACTCATTGGGAAAAAGAGGAAAAAGGTATGTTCATGTTGAGATAGCGGAGGAAGGTTGCCTTTGTGTGCAGTACCTGACCACGTCTCCTCACAAGTCCCTTCATGGCCAGCAGCGCCGTGTGTGCCAGAGCCCGTGCCAGGCTGGCTGTGGTCAGGGCAGAAACGACACCACAGAAAACACCTGCCCTGTGCCGTCTGGGGTCCAAGGTGGGCTTCTGGCCAGGCAAGGAAGCAGGTGGCTACGGATGTCTTTCGGGTTTGCCTTTTACTAGCTTCAAGCCATTGAAAAACACTTCTTATTGACTTGTCATTTCACTTTGTTGTTGTTTTGTTTAAGTGAAAACAAAGTAGAGAAGCACACGCAGCGGTTGTCACCAGCGACAGACTGTCCACCCGGGGTCACTGGCTAAGCTCTTACTGAATGAAGCTTTATCACCAGTGATGAGGTTACAAATCATACTATCGTACAGTTTTGCTGTTCTTTACACAGTACCAGAATGTTTCAAGCACACAGAAATTTTCTGTCAATACTTGCTGAATAAATAGATTCCTTTTAGATAAATAGAAGTATCCCAACAAGTCTTTCATTTCAAAATCCCTGAGAGGGAGACCAGGCGGTGCTGCCCCCCCGAAGGTGCAGGAGGCCGAGCGTTGGTGCTTTCGGGCTCCGGCGCTCACACTCGCAGAGCTGTGCTTGGGAAGTTATGCCATAGTTACTCAGCACGAAGAGAAGCACTCAACTCCCCTTGTCCTGCTTTGCTCTGGAGAACACGGCACCAGCGGCTGGGACGGGACCCCAGCCCCAGGACGACACGGACTCCTCTGGATGGAACTCAAGGTGAAATAAATGAAGTGAGTGTTTAGTCTCTTTTTTAGTAATTTGGATGAATTCTGAAGACCCATGGCCAGCGTAACTAGCAACCAAACAAAAGAGAATCTCTTGCCACTGTCCTATTTCCAGGCAGACCCCATGCTCGGTTCTAAAACACAGTGAACCACAGCTGCCGCTCTGCCTCCGGCCGGAGCTCAGTCCTTACCTCAGATGGTCTCAGCTCACCGGCACTCGGAACACACAGCTGCCGTCCAAGCCCTGGGGAGAGCTGCGCTGTCTGTACCTTTTCTGACCCACGTGTAAGCGCCCTCACAACAGAGGAAATAAAAAACGAAATTCATTTAGCACACTGAAGGGAACTGGTGCGTGAGGCATCGTAACTTGGCTCTGAGGGCGCAGCTAAGCGTGGGCAAGCTCTGGCACAGCCTGGCCTCCAGGAGACGTTCATGCCAGGTCTCTGGCCCAGTCAGGAAAAGACAGCTTGAGTTTTCTGTTTCCGCTGCTGGGTAACATGCAATTTCCCTGGTTCACTGAACCATGTTTCCTTAACCCAGGCCTGAGGCATTCAAAATAGAACAAGGCCTTTTCTTTCAGAGAAAAAGGAAGCACGTGGTTAGGTCCTTAAGGCTTTGGAGTGTAAGTCAGTGTAAGCTGAAACTTCGATAAAACGAAGTAGGCTTTTCATCTGGGAGGCTTGAAGACACTGGTGCTTCTAGGAGCAGATTAATGAATGTTTTACATGTGGAAGCTAACACGTGTTGTTTTGATTCTGCATGTTTGTATCCATCTTCCTTTAGGGCTGCAGCAGAAGATGAAAAGCAGTGTGGCCGGGAAGCCAAAGGCCCAGCACGTGTACTTTCTGGGTCTTGAGACCCACAAAGCAGAGCGCAAATGGTAATTTCAGATTATTTACCCAGCTCTGACATGTTTCCAGTTTAGGAAGCCACTGCTGGGTTTTTGTACAACCTACCTTCTTGGGCATTGGTAGAAGCAGATTGCCCTCGTGTGAGGATCTCTTTCTCCCCCGTCACGTGTCACAATGATTGACTCTTACTTCACTTGCAGCTGAGGTGCCCGTCTTCACACTCCCTCTGAGATCTTGAGGGGAGACATGTCCACCAAGGAAGCAAGTCTGTTTGCCCCCATAGAACCCGTGAGCGCTTTATCCTCTCAAAACTCTTAACAACTTACTATAGATTTCAGCGGTGTGCATTTGAATGCCCCAGAGAGAAAGATGTTCCACTCGCGCTCACGTGGGCCTTGCAGCTTGTGGCCAAAGTGCCTGCTTCCGCGGAGTCTGCTCATCAGCGCCGCTGCAAGGAGTGGGCTAATTGTGCCACTTGTAATTTAGGAGCTCCGTCATTAAACTTGCCCTATGAACTACTTTTTTGCAGATCTGTATTTTCCAGCCTGGGCAGATATAAAATTAAAGGAGCACATGCCTTTAGAGCGGCTCTGTGCTGGGTGACACTTCACATTACCCACGTGGGGTGAGGAGAAAACCCAGCGCTTTCCCACCAGCAATGCCTTGTTCTCAGTGAGTACTGATGTTAGCCTGTAGCTGAGGCATGCCCAGCACACACCCAGAGACAGGCCGAGGGGTAACGACGGGAAATTACCAGGTGAGTGCAGGCCATGAGCCACTGTCTCAGCTGGAATGACGTCCCTCAGTGGCCCCGGGGCATGCTCTAGGCCTCTCTGTCTAGGATCCCTGTATTCCTGGAGGCTCATGCTCTTGTCATAAGATGGCTTAGTGTTTGCGTACAACCTCCAGTATACCTGGAATCATCTCTACATTGCTTCTGTACGCAATACAGTACAAATGCTCTGTAAACCACTTCATACAGTGTTTAAGGAATCACATCAAGAGAAGACAGTCTGTACCTGTCTTGAAAGACAGTGTTTTTCAAGTATTTTCAGTCTGTGGTTGGTTGGAATTTCCAGGCATAGAATCTTGAATCAGGAGGGCCAAGTGTGCTTCTGACACAATATAATCCTAGCAATAGCCCTCTACCCACAGCGGGAGAAGACAAGATGAATGAAAACCAGTTACATTCCCACACATCTTGATTTGCAGGTGAACGTGGGTGGGACCAGCGAGGTTAATAAAAACAACAGAAGGCACACACCCTATTTTAATACTTCTGTGTGAAATGGGTGTTAGATTTTTAGCTAGGAAGGGGGAGAAGGAGTGTGAAATTGGACACAACAGTGTCTGCCCATAGGAGACCCTACCCCCATGAAGTGTTTCCTCCCTTCTGAATATTGTTGGTGGTGACTTCCAGGTTAAGCTCTGGGTTAACAGCCCTTAGGGTGTGATTTGGTGGCTGCCCCAGATTCCCGCTAGGGTCAGTGTTGCTTGCATTCCTGTTGGTGCTGCAGTAAGGTAAGGCTCCCAAGACAACCGAAATCCCCGAGGAAAGGGACAGCGTGCAAATACTTTTGGGAGACAAAAATGATGTAAAAATGATCGAAACACCATGAATCGTACGGCGAATATCAGTTTCTTTCTGCTTTGAGAGCAGGACTTTATACTAAGGCTTGAGTCGAAGACACAAAGTCGCTGTCAAGTCAAAGGTATGAAACAATCTCTGTTCCCTTCTTTCAGACTTGAACTTTATGAACTTGTTGCGGCTGCCTTTCAGAATTCTTTATTCAGTGGAGCATAGGGAAAAAACTGTTCAAATACAGAATTAAGTCTTTATGGATCAGAACAATTGCCATTTTACAGTAAGTGAATAGTTTCACATTCCTAAATTAAAAAGCAAGGGAAATAAACTTTTGAACACAAGTAGCTGCTTAGTCACGGAAGCTTCACGTGTCTTCGTAAAATCAGGAGAAAGATCTCAAATGTGGGCGTCAGCGCCGGGCTGTTGAGAATCGCGCCACTTTGCAAGCGTGCCTGCCCCTCGCGGCAGCTGCAGGACGCTGTTTCCCTGGTCAGCCAGAGCCCCTACGTCGCTCGGGAAAGAAAGAGCAAGAGGTAGTTCATGCACCCCCAGAGCTACGCGCGACCTCGCGGCAAGCGCCGCCCCTGCTCCCCCGCGGGGCCGTCAGATGCTCACGGGCACCGAGGACACCGAGCTGGCGCGGGACTCGCGCGTCACGCTGAGGGGCATGGCCAGCGCGCAGCTCGACACGCCCACGGTGGCCTCGGGCAGCTCTTCGTCCTCCGTCCACTCGTTGAGCTCGGGGCTGAAGCACTGCACACACTTCTTGTACTTCTTCTCGCCCTCGTTCCAGCCGCCCAGCAGGTAGGCGCGGCCGTGCAGCAGCGAGGCGCCCGCCGTGCTCACGCCCACCGGCAGCGGCGCCACCTGGCTCCACTGGCGCGCGGTGGCGCTGTAGCACTCGACGCCCAGCACGTCCACGCGCTCGCCGCGCGGCCCCAGCTGGCTGCCGCCCATCACGTACACGCGCTCGCCCAGCGCCACGGCGCAGTGCCAGCCGCGCGGCGTGCTCAGCCCGGGCAGCTCGTGCCACGCGTCACCCGCCGGGTCGTAGGCGCACGCGGAGCGCGTGTAGGCGCCGCCCACGTAGCCGCCCGTCACCAGCACGCGGCCACCCGCCACAGCGCTCGCGTGGCAGCAGCGCGCCGCCTCCAGGCCCGCCTTGGGCTGCCACTGGTTGGTGGAGGGCACGTAGCACTCGAGCGAGGCCAGGCTGCCCTCGGCGTTGCGGCCGCCCACGGCGTAGAGCAGCCCGTCGAACACGCTGAGGCTGAAGTGCGTGCGCTTCTGGGTCATGCTGGCCAGGTGCAGCCAGCTGTTGAAGCGAGGATCATACCTGGAAGGGCAGAGGAGGGACTCAGCCGCCAGCACCACGGGGGGCGCAACCGCGAGGCCCGAGAGGCCAGGTGGCTGGCCACGGAACCACGTCCCCCGCGCCCCATAGGCTCCCCACCCCTGCAGGCAGAAGCCGGCACCAGTGGCCTCGCGGAGAGTGCAGGAAGGGGTCAGAGAGGGGCCTGAGCTGACCTCACTGAACCCACGACTGCCCCCAGCTCGAGGCTGCGCCCTTAGCGTAGGCGCTGCCTCCCTGGTATCCTCAGAAGCCGCGGTGCACACCTGTGCTGCCCAGGGCCATGGCCAGGCTGAGCCACTCCATGGGATCGTGGCTAGAGAGCGCCAGCCAAGGCTTAGCTTTCGCTTCTCCACGGCAGTCCAGCCTGTACGTGGATGTCAGGCCTTAACTTACAGTTTTGTTTTTAATACTCAGTGCTATAGCTTTAAAAGCTGAAAAATACCAGTGACTCAAATGCTAGTAGGTAGGAATCAGCTCATAAAATGAGCAATCCTGGCAAGCTGGGGCTTCCTTGTGCACAAGCACACAACCCTGCAGTTTGATGGCCATCTTTTCCCACTGAATAGGCTTACCTACAGTTACTAATTGAAGCTTAGATTGTTTGGCTATTTTAAATGATGCGCCCACATATAATGAAATAAATACCTTTCATGAGCTACTGTGGAAATTTTCAGATCTTGTTCATTAGTTATGTTGATGTAAGCATGACTTTGTGACCATTTCATATATATGGAAGGTTAAGTTTTTAAGAAATATGTTCAAGTAATATGGCTTTTGAATTCCATTTTGGTGGATTTATTCTGCTTTCATTTTTTCTACATGTGTCAAAAATATTGACATTATTTTGCCTTCAAATATTTAAAAGTAAAAAGTAAAAAGCCACCACATTTTATGGATCACATTCTATTTGCCAGTAATGGATCTGACAGTTGTCAATGGCGCTAACTTAAAAGAAATAGTAGGGGCCAGGGAGATGGCTCAGTAGAATAAGTGCTTGCCTGGCAAGGGCCTGAGTTCAATCCCTGGTTCTGAAGAAAAAAAAAAAAAAAAAGAGAGAGAGAAGAAAAGAGTGTTATTCTTTTCTTGCCACGTAGCATTAAAAATTAAATTTGTAGCCAGTTTCATTCAGAAGTTAGTGTGTTAAGGGTACCCAATTAAAAACGCAAACATATAAATCATTATCTACTAATGGTAGGATTCTCAGTTTCTCCTATGTAAAATCAGAGTAATTCCCTGCCTACCTCCTTGTCTTGTTTTGGAAGTCAAATGTGACACACTGGAGCGCATTTGGTACAGTATAAAGTGACATATATATGTAAGTGGCATTGTTGTTATGGGTATGCTGAGCCAACGGTGCTGATAGGTGTGGTTCTTTCTTTCCTTGCCTTTCTTTCTTTTTTTTTTTTTTTTATTTTAGGGAAGGGCCTACAGGGTGTCGGGGTCTCACTACTAGATCGGACTCCTATGATCCTCCTGTTTACAGCCTCCCAAGAGCTGGGATCACAGGCTTGCGCCACCACGCCCAGGCTCAATTGCTGCCTCAGCGCGCCCCAGGGGTGGGGCCCGCAGGCAGGCTGGGGATGGAGCCCCAGGCCCCTGCGCCTGCTTGCAGGTTCTTTAGTCCACTGAGCTATTTGTCTGGCTCAGCATGATTATTTCTATGTCAAGGCAAGCTCTCCCCAAATGCGGAACCATTCCAGTTTCCTATAGAGGCCAGTTACCTGCAGAAACTGCTGACTGCGTGCTTGGCTTGGTTTCTCGCGTCGTTCTGGTCCTCACCGCCAGCTACGTAAAGAAATCCATCCATCACAGCCACACATTGGTTAAAGCTCTTGGCGGGCATCTCCGTAAGCTTGCTCCACCCATTCTCAGGGTCTCTGTACAAAACGTCTCTGCTTAGGGATTTCTCCGTAAGGCCTGGGCGCCCTCCCACAGTGACCAGGACCCGGCAGGCGCCGCGGATCTTTGTTCGCCTCGACTGCAGTGTGTTCTGACGGTAGGGGAGCAAGTGGTAGTTCATCGCGTCCACGAGGAGTCTGTGGCAGTCAGCATCTTGCATCATTCTCGGGACAGACTGAACGTAGTTGACCAGGTCTTGGGCAGAGATGGTGCCAAAGCGAATGTTGCTCAAGAGATCTGCAGCATATTTCACTCTCTTTTGGTCAAATTCTAACCATCTCATTGCGATCTGGAACGCTACTATCTCAGAAGGCAACTGTAAATCATCATCTATGAGAAGTTCATTAATTTGTTCAAATGTAAGTTTCATAAATTGATCTGATTCTGCAAATTCAAGGAAGTTGTCCCGGATAAATTTCTGGGCTGCTGCTTTTGCACTTTTCAGAGAGTATGTTTCTGCAATGTTAACCACATACATACAGTTCTCGACATTGATCTCCTGGATCAGAAAATCGCTGCACATCTTCACGAGCGTGTGGATCTGAAGATAAAGCGCAGCAGAGACGACACTTCCTATGGTGTACAGGGACAGGGTCAGCTTGCCTGTGTAGGCATACGCAATGACTGTCGCCAGGCCTAGCGGGGCGATGTCGTTGAGGTCCACCCTGCGAGTCGATGGGTCTTGTTTTAGGATGTTGTAAAAGTGCTCGCTGCATGAAGCCATCACTGCCTTGTGAACGTCAAACGACTTGGTTTTGGTGCCGATGACTAGGTCGCAGAGGAAGCTCTCCTGCCGCATTTTGCTCAGGCTGTCCAGGAGGCTGGGGCCATAGGAAGCGTCAGCCAGTTCTGAGGAGAGGCAGCTCAGGCCGTTGCCCCCCTCCAGGAGCCCATTCAGAGCGCTCAGTTTGCTGAGGGGGCTGTCTTCTACGATGATCGTCATCTCATTGATTTCGGCTTTGTTCTTTTTGACAGTCTTCTTTTTGGGGGCCATGGTGGCAATACTGTCACAGGCAAGGGTTCACTTTTTTTAAAAAAGAAGAAGAAGAAGAAGAAAGCATGGTTTTATTTCAGTTGTGCTTTGGACTTTGAAAGACTACATTGAAAAAGGTTTTCATAAGATGAGCTATTATAAGATGATGATTTTTTTTAGTGCCATAAAATAGACTACTCTTTAGATAGATTTAAAGGCATTAAACTGGATAGACATTTTAGTGACAGTTTCAACTGCAGCATTACCAACTAGAGATGAGTCTAGAAAAATCGATAGGATCCAATGAGATTTCTCAGTGGGCACACTGCCAAGTAATTTTCATACAGCAAAGATGAACATGTCTGACTCAACTGTGCAGTGTTACAGAATAATAAACCTTATTCCGAGGCCTTACTTCGCTTTCCTCCAAAAGTGACTTCTAACCACGTTAAAGGTTTTCCTCAAATACTAAAATTTGGAATACATGTAAAATTAGAAAATCCTAGGGAAAGATAGCTTCATTCACACTAGCAATGCAACCTATAATGTAAAAGATGAAAATTTAGTAAGAGTCGTAATATGAGCACCGTAGGATTTTGCCAGAGCGATGAAAAGAGATGTGAGAAGCAGGAAGTGTAAACAAGACCCAAAATGACAACCGATGCTTTAAAACAGGGAGAAACTTCAAAAGGAAAGAGAAACTGGGGCGGGGAAATGGAGGAAAGGAAGGGAAAAGCAAAAAGAAGATATATATATGAAGATAGTTGTAGTACGAGTTTCTCCTAGTTACTTGAAGGGAAAGCTTTATGCTAATATTGTCCAGACAGTTAAATGCTGCTATCTTGTACTCTGAGTAATTTAAAGATAATAGCACATAATATATGAACCATTATTACCCCCTTATTATCTTGTTTTGAAATTTTTTCTCTTTAAAATTAAAGAGAAAGGCCATCCTGCCTTGTGTTCCGAGTGTCCTTGTCCTGTCCACGTGGAAGGACGGCAGCAGGAGGCAGGCGCAGACCCGCCTCCCCGCAGGCCTTCCAGCCTTCTTACTGCGCTCAAATCGGCACTCACAGGTTAAATTTCTTTAGAAGACTAGCATATTTAGTACTCCTTGTTACTTTTTGCAAACAATTATGAAACAGATTATGAGCCTCTCTAACATCATTTTAGTGTTCAAATGCATTTGAATTTCGTGTTGGGTGTCCCCTTGTTGACTTTTTGGGGTGAAACAATTTTTTTTTTAATTTTAGGACAGGCTCTACAGGGTCTACAGGGTCTCACTGCGTAGATCGGACTCGTGGCGACCCTCCGGTGTTCAGCCTCCCAAGCTGCGAATCTAGGCCTGCGCCAGCACGCCCGGCCCACCTCGTGGGTTACAATACACAGACACAGCACCAAGACAGCTGCATGGAGGGGCGCAGGGACGGAGGTAACAGCGGACAGCGGCCGTGCGGTTTTTGCTCATTCTTTTCGCATGTACTTGATGTCCCACCAGGACCTGTGTGCGCCACACAAGCGTGGCATCCCTGGGCTGCACCCCCAGCTGGGTTTCCCTGCGTTATGTGAAGTGGTACATAGCATGTTATATAGCCTGTGACAGTTTAACCCTAAATATTGTGATGTCTACAGAAGTGGTGGCGAACTTATGGCACTTGTGTTTCATTTTTTAAGACAAAATATATTAATGGATGGGTGTTTTTTCTAAACTAAAACCTCAGTATTCACATTTAAATGCACTTGGCGATAAATAAGCGAGTTCTGCCGCCAGTTTGACACTCATCTCTGAAAGCTTTGCCATTGCTTGTCTAGAATAATGCCACTGTATAAAAATATAACACGACCCACATCTTTTTTTTTTTTTCTTTTGCGGAAGCAGGCATTGAACTCAGGCCCTTGCGCTTGCCAGGGAAGACCTTATTCCACTGAGCCATCTCCCCGGCCAAACACGACCCACATCTACAATTTAACATTTTCTTTTTACTCCATTAGAAAGTAGAAAGGGAAATGTAAGTTAATTTTAGCTGTATATTTTATTCAGCCAGATATTTCCATTTCTATGTGTAATTGGTATAAAATTATCAGTAAGATATCTTCCTTCCTTCCTACTATATCTTCAAAATACAGGGTGTGAGGCTGGGAAGATAGCTCAGCGGTCTCAGTGCTGGCCTGGCAAGCGCAAGGACCTGAGTTTGATCCCCAGCACCACAGGCTGTGCCCCCCCAACTGGGTGTGGTGCACACACCTGTAACCCCACACTGGGGAGGCTGAGACAGGAGGATCACTCTGAGTCTGAGCTGTATTTCAAGACCCCGTACCAAATAAATAAATGAAAAATTTCAAAAGCCCAAACTACAGGGTGTGCTTAGACTTACACTGCGTCGTAGCTTGTGCTAGCCACACATCAGGTGTTCAGGACCCACATGTGATCGAGGCCTAGCATGTCAGATGACAGGGTCGGAGAGCAGCTGGCTGCTTACTCAGGCAAAGGAAGCGCGGAGCCACACATCACGGGGGAGCAGAAGCGGACGCAGCAGGGCGCTGGGTCACATGGCGACCCTGAGTGGACCCTGGTAAGGCGGCTGGAGCCTGGAAGTGTTCCTGAGGGATTTGGAACAGAGCATTCTTACCCTTATAGGAATGGTGATTTAGAAAACGTGGGACATTTGATTGTCAGGTAAGCAAAGTGACGGATTATATGGAATGTAAGGAATCCACTAGCTGGACCCAAGGATTGCGATTGAGGGTGCTGTTCTGGTGAGGTGAGGTGAGGGAGGTCTGCAGACAACACCATCCTAGCACGTCCCCCTAACAGGACCTTTGCATGCGGGAGTGGATGGGAGAAGACTGAGGAGCAGAGGGCAGCTCTGAGCAGCGATGGGGAGGCCTCACTCACCCCGCTGTGTACTAGGTGAAAACGTGGAGGCTGTGGAGCCAGGAAGGCTTCGGACCTGATAATTTGCTCGGAAGGAAAGCAGAAGGCAGCCTGAGGCAGCGAAATGGGCCCGCTCTAGGTCTCCTCAGCTTCCCTCTCTTACCCCTGCTGGCCACCTCACACTCCTTCCCTCAGGCCTCCACGCTGCCCTTGGCTGCCCCTGTGGGCCTTGCCCTGGGCTGCTGCACTTCTGAGGAAACTCCCCTGCTTTTTGGTGCCAGGAACCGAGCTCAGGACCTTGAGCTTGCCTTGCGCTGTGCCCCTGAGCCACATCCCCGGCCCCGTGGCCTCTCTGTATTTCCCAGACAAACTTGTTTGCAGAGCCACCTAGGCCTGGAATGCCCATCTCCAGTGAGCCGTCTACCTGCCCAGTTACCCTCATTTGGTGCCACGGTATTCCATTTGAAACACTGCCGCTTCTACAGAAGAGCCTGGGCATTGGGATCACTGGTTTTTATCTTTTTCTGGCACTAGGGACTAACTCCAGGGCCTTTATACTGAGCTACATGCCCAGGCCTTTTTATTATTTTAATTTTGAAATAGGTTTAAGTTGGCTAAGAGCTTGTGATCCTCCAGCCACAGCCTTATGAGTAATAGGTTTCAGAAGCCTTCTATTTGACTTACGTTGTAAAGAAAAGTTGGATGGGAGTTTTACTTACTACTGTTTCTCCTGTCCACCAAGTGACTGTTAGGTGCTCAGGTATTCGGGGCTGCCCACGCTAGGCAACCAGGTGGTCACCTGGGCCGCCAAACCCTAGGGAGGTGCTGACTTGGGTTACCATCTGCAGGGCACAGAGTGCGTCCTTGCTGAGCTGCCCTGGCTGGGGGAGTTTCACAGCTGCCTTTCCCCTTCTCCTGAGCCACAGCAGGCTTGGCTCTCTCTTCCCACCCTCCGGGGCGCTGATGATCCCAGTAGGATCAAGGAGATGAGGCACTTCACAGCTCCCAGGACTGCTGTGGCTGGCCGTCGGTGTTCCTCACACGCGCATGGCCTCTACCACAGTGTGGAGCCGGAGGAGAAGCAGCACTTGCCAGGGTGGCTGAGGTGGTAGAACACGATGGCAGCTATGTGGAGGCACTGCCAGGTCCTTTCTGTCCCTTCCTTTTTTGGATCAGAGAAGGGACTTTGCACAGGGTGTGGAGAGTGTCCCACCTGGTCACAGAGGACAAGCACAGTTCCCTCTCGGCTCCAGGCACAGTCACCAGCCAGAGTGGCCCATTAGGATTGGGAGGGAGGGGCCCAAAGAAGTCTGTGCTCCCCCACCCCACCTTCGCTGAGCCCGGGTCCCAGGCCTCTCCTGGCCACAGCGTTGAGGACCCAGCACTTGAGCAGCTGGGCAGAGTGACATGCATCATTGCGTTCCCCATCATCTTTTGCGACTGTCAAATTTAAGCCCATTAATAATTAAGTCCCAAATAGAAATAACCAAACGTGAATATGTATTATGCATTAACTGTACACCAACACCTCCATTTCTGCCTAAAATAGTAATTATATAGGTAGGATTTACCAGTTGAGGTATTACCGTAAGCTGAGCTCTGGCATATGTACCTTACAGAATTCATTTTAAAATTTAAATACCAAGTATAGTCCTAAGGGCAGGTTATACTGTGTTCATTTTACAAATGAAGAAGCTAAGACTCACGAGAGTAATGAAGAGCTTGTCCAAGGCCACATAAGTCAGGGACGCAGGAGCAAGATGCAAACCCGGAGGACATGCGGCCCTTGTCTCTACCCTTAGATGCAGGCCGAGCCCAGTCCCTGGCTGGCTGAGAGTTAGCTTCTTCCAACAGAAGATGAACAGAGGGAGGAGGGGAATTGAGGTTTATCAAACTAAAATTTGCATATAGAGATCACAGAGTGGTTGTTTCTTGTACTGAAACAAGAGAATTGCTTTTCTGACTGTAAGATAAATTTGATAAAACTTGGGAATTTCTTTCTCCTCTTAAGGGTAGCAAGGATGTGAAATTCTAATAGGCTCAGTCAGCCAAAACATGAGCAAGTCCAAGGAGGGCCCACGTGAAGGTGCTGATCAGCAATCAAGGGCTCCATTTTAGTGTTAGCGTGAAGAGGAATTACCATTTTTTGGCATCAGTCAATTATCAATTTTATGTGGTTCAACTTGGCTCATGGCTGTGCCATGCTGGCTTTTACTTATAAAATATACAGACTAAGGGCTAAATTCTAACTGTACTTCTAGACTGAATATAGGACACAATGCAATATTTTTTGTTTTGGTTTTGCTGAAAATGTTAGCACAGTGGCCCTTGCTCTTTCCTTCTATGCTTGTCAAAGGAGATGAAGGGTTAAAAATCAAATTTTTAAGACTGATGTCTCCTTGAGCATCACAGACTGAAAACTAGGCTTTGTGTCCATTCTGCTCTCACGATCTGTTAGACTGCAGAAAAATATCCAACCTTTTAGGATTTCAGCTTAATCTCTTGTGAAACAGGGAAGCACCCTTTCAGGTTGAAAGTTGTGCACCGTCAGGCATCACAGCCAGGAGCTAGAGGTGCGGCCCAGGGCTGCCGCACACGTGCACTGCAGGCTGGAGGTGTGACTCAGGGCTGC